GCTCTGAGCAGATTCCATTATGTTCAAATATAGGTTAGGAGAAATAGGTCTCAAATTTGTTTGGAAGCACTTCTCTGTGTCCACTTACTATGCGTAAATGCTTTGAGGTGTTGGCAGTTTCAGAAAAGAAGACAGAAGTGGACAAGGGGTGGAGGTAGGGTAGAATGTGGGCTGGCCAGAGAGGGGGGCATGGTGAGCAGAGGCCATGGGACATATGGGGTTGTAATTAGTGGCATCAGCACTCTGTAATTGGTTTCCCTTATAAGCAGGGAGCATTGGGTGTGTCTGGACCAGAGAACTAACAAAGTTAGCAAAGCAGTATGCAGCAGGGATGGTTATACAGTAAATCAAGTAATTCGTATTTTCCCAGTTCAACCATGGGAATGTGGCATTGAGGACAACCTGGGAAGCTGGCGGAGGAAAATGAATAACAAGGAGACAGCAGGCTGATGAGAGTGGTGAATAGCCAGCTAGCAGCAAACAGAAACAGGAGAAGGAAGGAGCAAGAGAAAGGGAAATAAAACAGAATGTATCGTTGGCTGTTTTGTTATTTTAGCCACCTTTAAATACGCAGCATAGGAAATGGAATGTAAGAAATCCCAGCAATAAATAAAAAAAGATATCAGGATGAAGAAACTCCAGAGTATTCTACAAAGAAGGAAAGGGTAAGAATAATTTAAAGTAAAATATCTCGGGGCACCTGGGTGGCTCAGTCCGTTAAATCTCCCAACTCCTGCTCGGGTCATGATCTTGTGGTTCGTGAGTCCGAGCCCCGCATAGGGCTCTGTGCTGACAGCTCAGAGCCTGGAGCCTGCTTCAGATTCTGTTTGTGTGTCTCTCTCCCTGCCCGTCCCCCACTTGTGCTCTGTCTCCCTCACTCTCTCAAAAATAAATAAACAGTAAAAAAAAAAAAAAAAAAAAAAAAAAAAAAAAAAAACGGTAAAATATCTCAGGGCGCCTGGGTGGCTCAGTCAGTTAAGCATCTGACTCTTGATTTTGGCTCAGGTCATGATCTCACAGTTCCTGAGATTGAGCCCTGCATCAGGCTCTGTGCTGACAGTTCAGAGCCTGCTTGGGATTCTCTCTCTCTTTCCCTCTCTCTCTGCCCCTTCCCGACTCATGTTGTCTCTGTCAAAATAAACTTAAAAAAAAAAAAGCAAATTCCTCCCCCCCACCCCCACCCCTCTAATGCCCTGTGAAGGCAAAGGTAAGCAACTCGCTTCCTTAAGCTTCTTCCCAAAGGGAATACCAGTTGTTAAGGTGGGGGATGAGAGAGGGCATATGGTTTTTCAAAGAGGACCACAGAGAATTGAAGTGAGAGATGATGTGGAAAGGTAGGAAGGGGCCTTCTTGCCATGTTGAGAAGTTTGGGCTCCATCCTGAGTGTGATGAGAAGTCATGGGAAGGTTTAGAGGTGGGGAGAATGCACAGTAGGGATGGTGAGGCTGGAGGCCGAGAGGCTGTTGCAGGGAAGAAATGATGGAAACGTGGCACAAAATGATAAAACAGGTGAATAAAACAGGTTTTAGACACATCTGCAGGGGATTTGCAGGACTTCGTGGTTGAAGTGAGGAGGAGGAGGAAGAGGCACGGACAGCTTGTAGCTTTAGCCAATGAAGTGAAAAGTAATCCTATTAACTGAATAGGTGTATACACAAGAATAGAGGAGATTTTTATTATCCTGGGGAAATCCCTAATAGTTTTAAAGCAAAAAGGAACTCCAACTTCAGATTTTGCCTATAATTTTAGCTACACTTAAATGGCCAAAGACAGGTGTCCTTTCACTTAAATGATTCACAGACCTCCTTTAGGAGTTTATTCTAATATTTTCATAACCTGTACCACCAAGACACTCCTACTGTTATATTGAATCTAAATGAATTTTGATGTAACCAAAGATGTCTATGGTAATATGCTGTCTGTTCTGTTCTGTATAGCAGTGTTAACACAGAAATAGGTCTGAAATGATATCAAAATTTATATAGTATGTTATAGCCTATATACATCCATTATTTTATGTGATCCTTGCTAGGGAAGCTAGCTCATCCCTTCCTTATAAGTGTGAAGGTCATACAGCTTGTGGGAGAGCTATAGGCAATACGTAGAAATAGTTAAGAGTTACAAACCAAGTTATCTTCCTACTTGGACAAAAATATCTTCATAATCACAAGAATGGAAAGCATGTATAAAGTCATTTTTTTATATGACTGAAAATAGGCAAAATATCAGATATGACTAAACTTAATTATCCTTGCTCATGCATGGGCACCCAACTGAACTGGCAATGTTTAGATGGATAATAAAATAATGACCTGAATCATAAATTATTATATATTTATTTCAAAGACTCTATTTTTTCTTATTTTCTTTTTAGTAAAATCATAAACTGTGTTGTTATAAGCAAGATTTTCATATAGTTCGTGTTCTATTAACAATGATACTAAATGAGACCATCCTGGGGCACCTGGTGGCTCAGTCAGTTAAGCACCTTACTTCAGCTCAGGCCATGATCTTGCGGTTCATGGGTTCGAGCCCTGTGTTGGGCTCTGTGCTGATAGCTCACAGCCTGAAGCCTGCTTTGGATTCTGTGTCTCCCTCACTCTCTCTGCCCCTCCCCCACTAGTGTCTATCTCTCTCTCAAAATAATAAACACTAAATAAATAGAGACCATCTTTCCTGAGTCAGTGTAGCTTTTTGATATGTTTTTTTTAATTAATTTCAATTTGAGAAAGCTTCACTCTGCAAAGACAGATTTGAAAATAAACCATGGAATTTACTTATCCTGTTCAAACACTGTAATGGGATTGCATTTAATGAATTATTATTGCATAAAATAATTTAATTTTAAAAAATAAACTATCACAACTATCAATTTTAACCGTTTCTTAAAAGTAATATAATGACAACCAAGTAGTGTGAAGTAATGTGCAGAACCAATATCAAACTTCTAGACTGCACATCTACAAGTTTAAAAGTAATATGAATTGTTTAATGTTGCCAAATGTGTGTCTCCATGTGCAAATGTAATGAATACAGTGCTAATGTGTGAGTACGCCTGCAACTACAAACAAACAGAAAGAGAAAGGAGAAAACTAGCATTCAACACTACAAGGGAACCACACTTTGTTATTTAAGAATTGCATTCATGCCATCTGAAAGGAAGGACCTGACAAGTTAATGGCTTCATTTATGTTCTTATCAAACCAAACACTTGTGTGCTTCAAAATCTCACTGTACTCTGAAGCGGTGGTCATTCTCTGATAGTGGTAATGGCCACAATCACAGCATTAGGCACACTTGTGTCTGGTTTTAGGGCATAAGGTGACTGGAGAAGCATTTCTCTGGGACCTGAAGAGTTTTTCCTGAGAGCAATGTTCAGCATCATTGGTTATCAGCTTCCAAAGGAGAGGCACTCATGTCTTCTTCCCTTTTCTTATAACAGCTTAATGTTTCTTAAAACAGCTTTTAGTACATACATTTACCCTAAGAGCAACCCTGTACCTATTAGGAATCACTTCCTATACCTCCCTCCCCATCAGCCACTGGCAAATACTAATCTTCTTTATATCTCTATGGAATTGCCTATTCTGCATATTTCATTCAAACAGAATCATATAATATGTAGCCTTTTTGTATCTTGCTTCTTTCATTTAGCATAATATTTTCAAGGTTCATCCATGTTGTGGTATATATCAATACTTTTTATTCCTTTTTATGGGTGAATTATGTTCCACAGTAAGGATACCACATTTTGTTTATTTATTCATCAGTCAATGGACATTTGGGGTGGGTCAACTTTTTGGCTATTATGAATAATGCCACTATGAATATTTGTGTACAAGCTTTTCTGTGAACATGTTTTTGTTTCTCTGGAGCTCATACCTAGGAATGGAGTTACTGGAACATGTGGTTTACTTTATATCTAATGTTTTAAGGAATTAACCCAAAGGCTTTACAAAATAGCTGTGCAGTTTTACACCTCCACCAGCAATATATGAAGGTTCCAATTTCTCCATGTCCTTGTTAACACTTGTGTCTTTTAAAATTTTTTTAATTTTTTAAGTCCAGTGTGGGGCTTGAACTCACAGCCCTGAGATCGAGTTCCTGAGCTGAGATCAAGAGTTGGGTGCTTAACCAACTGAGCCACCCAGGTGCCCCTGTGTCTTTTTTTATTATAGCTATCCTAGTACTGAGTAATGGTGGTAAACCCTTTACAAGGTTTAACTCATTTGATCTTCCCAATATTGCTATATCCAGAAAAGGGAATTCAGATTTAGAGAGGTTCAGTAACTTGCTTAACACTAATATACTGAAAAGTGCCAAAGCTGAAATTAGAAATATGTTGCACAAATACTCTTTGAACACTCAGGAGAATGAAAACAATTTGGGCAAGTTTCACCTCCCCCCACCCTTTCAACAAGACCTTCCTGAGTTTAAAATCTTCTGTTCTATCCAAGTTAGTCTCCCGTTGATATCCTGAATCTACTCCTGCTTTATGCTTCAGAGCTAAACTGGTACTGAGACATAATATTGAGAATAAGAGGGAGAAGGAAATAGTTCCAATTAAAGCAAAAATTTCCATTTAGCCACTGATAATTTGTAAATATAAATTTGGAATTTTAAAAAATCATTAAAAATCAATTTGAAAAGCCTAATTTTCCAAGTATGATCTTCATTACTCTTGGGCCAAAATTGTTTCCAAGGTACACATTTCCAGTTTCAATGAAGTCAGTGGAAATTGACTTCAAATTGAAGCCAATTTTTATGTTTTAATTCCATAAAGATATATGCTACCTTTTAACTTTCTAATTTACAGTAATTTATAATTATAAAATGTTTACATATTATATTAACAGTTACATAGAAGCATATCTATTAATGTTTGTTCTCAAAAATAGAAGTGTCACCATTTTTAAAAACATGGTAATAAAGTAAATGCATTTAACTCAGTGTTTAGGAAAGACTTGGAATAGACTCTTAGGTTAGGAATTTTTTCATTCCTAACTTATGTTTGACTTTCCTAAGGGGCAGTATAGTGAACTGTCATAAGGGAGGAAAGCAGCACACGATCTGGCACCACAATAACAAGGTTTTCTTGTTTTCCCTTGATCTAGCCTTTCTTTGTCTTTGCTGTCCATTAAATTAAGAAATCTTCCCGAATAGTCATAAGAGAGTTCTTCTTCTGGCAAAATGTCTTTGGCTGCAAAAAGTGCCAACTTGGGTACCATTGAGTCAATTCGGACAGGAATCATCAACAGGTTTGGCTCACAAGAATGGTTAAGAAATCTTCCAATATTTCCTATAGAGGCAGGATCAACAAATGTTTCTATTACCTGCCCACTGTAAACATGTTCTCTGACGGCTATAATGTAATTTGGGTCCTGTATTGTTTGTAACTGAATTCTTCTCTGTACTTCAGAGTATCCCAAAACTTCTCCGGCATATTCACAGACAAACCGTCCTTTTGGTATAAATTCCAAGGTACGAAGTCCCCAGCCTTTTTTATCCGTCTTGAACACCTGGAGTTGGAACTGTAGACCTTGCTGGACCACTCTGTTCTTGCACTGGTCACTGCACTGGCACAGGATATTGCATTCAAAAACCGGGTTGGCACACTTGCCTTGGGATCCTGTATCTATAAGGCAGGAATTATCATCATAGTTCTCTGCATGACGGAGACAGGAGCAAGTACCAGGGAGGCAGGTTTTGAGACAAATGCATCCGGGAAAGGTTATTTGTGTGGGATCGATGTCTGTTCCAGGTCCAGCTACGTGGTCAGGAGTATACTGCAAAACCAGAAATGCTGTAAGTCAGCATGCCATGGCATGTATTTCATACACATTTCAAGCAGCTTTTGGATGAGACACTTCCTAATTCCAACATATATAAAAATAGGTTCAAACGAAACTAACAAAGAACAACAATCTGTTAAAATATTGTTTGAAAACATACTTCTTCAATTTAAAAAGATTTTTACTTTTTTAAAGTTTATTTATTTTGAGAGAGAGAGAGTTAGTGAGTGGGGGAGGGGCAGAGAGAAAGGGAGAGAGAGAATCTCGAGCAGGCTTGGCAATGTCAGTGCAGAGCCTGATGTGGGGCTTGAACCTGTGAACCGTAAGATTATGACCTGAGCTGAAGTCAAGAATTGGATGCTTCACTGACGGAGCCACCCAGGCACCCCAAGATTAATTTTTACATTTAAAACTCTGTGGTTTTATTTTAGGTATGGGGTAACAAAAGAAAAAAGAAGTTTTTCTCTCATCAGAAATTGGAAGATTGGTAACTCATTTTGTTTTCTTCTTTAATATCAGAAAAATCAGTGCTGAGTTTAGTTTTTGAATGCAGTTAAGAATTTCGCCCTTGGCTCTTGATCTTTTCACATTTATCTGACAATATAAATGTATGTATGTATTTTTCTTAAATGTTTGCTTATTTTGAGAGAGTGCGTGCATGTGTGCACACACAAGCGGGGGGAGGGGCAGAGAGAGAGAGGGAGAGAGAGAAAATCCCATTTGGAGCTTCAACAAACCATGAGTTCATGACCTGAGCCAAAATCAAGATTCTGATGCTTAACTGACTGAGCTGCCCAGGCACCCCTGCATGTATGTATTTTATTGAGTCATCGCAGATGCTTTTTGGGGATAAGAAAGTCATAAATGATAAATAACTTAATGAAAAGTGGACTGTGGAAGAAAGTCTTCCATTGATTTTTAAAGGAATTCTTAACTTGAAGATTACTTAAATTCCTAAATATTCTTTGATGTTCAAAAAAGACACTATTACTTCAGAGTTTTACTTGAGTCTTCACAATGTTAAAAATAGGCAAAATTGGCCAAGAAATTGCAGACAGAATTCCAAAAATCATACTTGTTATACAGATATTAATAAATGTAGATGTATTACATATATGTGAAGAAATCCTGTTTTTATTAAATGGTAAAGAGATAATATGGAAAAGTTTCTTACATTACAGAAAAAGAAGAAAGTCTCAAGTCTAAAATCTCTGTGTGAAAACTGATCTCCGGTTATTTCCTCACTAGCATAATGAAGCATATTTCCAAACCTTAAAGATTAAAGTACATCTTATTACTTTTTTAATGTTTTTCTTTATTTTTGAGACAGAGAGAGACAGAGCATGAGCAGGGGAGGGGCAGACACACACACAGAATCCGAAGCAGTCTCCAGGCTCTGAGCTGTCAGCACAGAGCCCGACACAGGGCTGGATCTCATGAACCATGAGATCATGATCTGAGCTGAAGTCGGACGCTTAACTGACTGAGCCACGCTGGCACCCCTAAAGTATCTCTTATAAGCCCAGATATTTCCTTATGTATAGAATAATTTTTGCTTAAATGGAAACTAATTCATTTATTTATACCTGCTGTTAGTGTTCTTGGACCCAATTTCAGTGTGGTGGTAGTGTGGGGTTTTCCCACACCTCTAACAAGCATTGCTTCGCACACCAGGTCGGTATACTGTAATTCAACTCAGTTCTGACACTATCCAATAGCATCACATTCCACAGTCTAAGGAGTCAGTCCTAAGACTGCTTCCCACCACCTTCAGAAACCAGTCCCAAGCTCAAGTTGTCATATGTGCTTCTAACTGATGGGTTGTACACTGGAGGTTCCCATGACCCCTTCCTTGGACTTCAGACACCAGTCACAAATCCACGTTGTTACTGAACTTATGGCCAACAAGCTGTAAATCAGAAGTTCTCAAAATCCCCTCCTTGGGTTCGCTTAATTTGCTAGAATTGCTCACAGAACTCAGAGAAAAATTTTACATAGCAGACACCAGTTTATTGTAAAAGGATACAACTCAGAACAGCCAGATGGAAGAGATGAACAGAGCAAGGTATGGGGAGAGGGAGAGGAGCTTCCATGCCATCCGCAGGCATGCCACACTCGCAGCACCTTTGCTCCCAGCTCTCTGAACCCTGTTTTCTTGGGCTTTTATGGAGGCTTGATCACAGAGGCAAGATTGATTAAAACTGGCTACTGGCAAATGATTCAACCTCTAGCCCCTCTTGTAGCTGGAGGTTAGGGGTGAGGGTACTGAAAGTTCCAACTCTCAAATCACCTGGTTGGCTCCACTGGCAACCAGCTCTCACCTTCAGGTGCTTTCCAAAACTTGCCTCATTAACATAACAAAAGATACCTTTGGCTGCTCTCATCACTTAGTGAATAACAAGGGTTCTAGGAACTTGGTGCCAGAAATGGGGACAAAGATCACATATGTATTTCTTATCACAAAATCACAGCTGCACAGCTGCATTGTTCCAAAAAGGATTTAATGAGACTTACAAAGATATAAGATAAATGAACAATACATAGGAAATGTAAGGTGAAGAACAGTAAGAGCTAGTTGAGAGAGCTTAGGCACACAAAGTGTGCCTATCCAGAAGTAAACTGGATGTTTGGTTCTGAGCACAGCCACTTCCAAGAGGGAAATACGATATGACATATGGCTTACACTATCCATAAAGAACATTCTCACTGTTCAGAAGTACTGACCTTTTCCAGTATGGAAACTGGAGGGAAATTTCACCATTGTGTCTGTCTAAACCATTCTCTTCCAGAAAGCAGTTTCATGGGCTGTTTCTCATTCTGACTTTCAACAAAGGCTACTGGCATGCTGCCCATGCAGAGAGAGTAAGAGCAGTACTGTGAGGGACCAGCTGCAGAGGCTTTAATTCAGGGATAGATTTTAAGAGTATCTAGAGGAATGTCTGAACCGACTATCTCTCAGGACTAAGCTTTGGAGAAAGTATTAAACAACATGTACTTACATACCCTGTGGTGGAGCCTTGGTGGAGCTATGCAGTTAGGCTCAAAACCCTACATTTTAAAAAACGTTGAGCTGGGGTAAGGATTGACATCCTCTGGGTAAGATGAGGAGTATGAGTGGGAGCACCTGCGGGGGAAAGCCAACACTCTGCTTAAAAAGTGATTTGGGGGTGGAGAGCGGAAATAGCTTCTCTTGTTTGTGTCATTTCTTACAGCTTTAGCTTAGTAGAGATGTCCTAAAGGGATAAAGAATGGCTTAGAAAAAGATGCCCTATCAGTCAAATTCAATGGCTGCTGTTTTATACAGAATCTACTTCTAGCTTTTGAAAGAGTCAAGGTTGAAACATAAATGGTTATGAGACATTTTAAAAAAGTACTTGCAAAATGAAGATTTTACTGTTTCTCTGTTAAACTCATGAAGAATTCTTTTAAATTAATTTCTTCTTAAAAGTGCACATATTTTTAAAGTACCATATAAATCACTAAAGTCTAAAGTGATTTTTTTTTTTTTTTGGATACAGATAATTCCTTTTAAAATCAAGTCTGACTTATTGCCGTTTTCTAACCAGAAGAGCATATTATTCTTTGTTGAATTTATTTGGGTGTGGTGAGGTTTGGAAAAATACATTTATTTGCTTATTTTTATTTACATATTTAAAAAAAGATATTGGAGAATCTAGTGATACAGTTTTTGTTTTTGTTTTTAAATTCTGGAATTTAAACTTGATGCACAATCTAAGGTCTTTTAGAGATAGATTATAAATAATTCCAAATGAGCTGCAGACACCTTCCAAAAGATAATAGAGACCTCTGGATAAACTTCTTGTTTGAAGAGAATATTTGTTTTCCCTTATGGATGTAATCCTTAACCCCGATACCAATGCTTAACACAAATCATTTTATCTCCATATATTTCCATTTTCTCTTCCATAAACAGTCAGTAAAATACCACTCCAGGAAGATGATTCACCTGACTTAGAAAAATGGCTAAAGAATAATCTTTTGAAAACCATTTCTAATTTAACATGATTTACAGGTATCTAACTACATATTGAAAAATTGTTTTCAGAAATAATCTGATGTCACTGACCTGATATTCTATTCAAATATTATGTTATGCAAATTGTTAACTCTTGAGAATCTGAAAACTAATGTTAAGTGCATCATAAATGGGGAGTCAGGTGACCTGAGTTTAAAGGCTCCCAATTTGTAGCTCTTTCCCATAGTCTGTCCTCTACTTCCTGGAACAAAGCCCAGGACCAAACTGATTCAGAAAAAAGGGTGTTACTCTGAGGATTTTTGTGCTTACCTTCAACCAAGGAGAGATCAAAGCTTGAGGAATGAGACCACAGAGGACATGTTTTTACTCATCCAGCATCTGTTCCTTTTCTTCTGATAACAGCACCTTGACTTCTCAGGGAAACCTTCCCACTACTGTCTCAGTGGTTAGGATGGGGGATACTTGGTTAATCAGGTCATCATTTGTTCCTTTCAACAGTGTTTGGTTGGATCTGCTCGGTACTTAAGCCAGATCAGTGAAAAATAATTCTTGGGGTGCCAGGGTGACTCAGTCAGTTGAGTGTCCAACTTCAGCTCAGGTCATGATCTCATGGTTCATGGGATTGAGCCCTACATTGGGCTCTGTGCTGTCAGTGCAGAGTGGGCTTTGGATCCTCTACCCCCTCTCTCTCTGCCCCTCCCCCGCTCATGCTCACTCTCTCAAATAAACATAAAAAAAAAAGATTCTGGGATTTCTGCTTAAACAATCAGCTAGAGACATTCTCATTCTACCTGTTCAACCTGGAAATCTCAAATTCTACTGCATACGTAAGACCTACTGAATGTGTAGCCAACCAGCGGAAAGAGGAGCAGGTGTGCAAAGGGTGGAGGTGGTAGAAAGAAATATTTGATGACATCGTTAGAGTTCTTATATCTGGACATGCCTATAATTACCACTCTTGGACTTTGCTGTTATGAGGCAATTCCTTCCTTTTTATGCTTGAGTTAGTTTATATTGTATTTTTATTTCTCGCATATGACTCTTTTTTCTTTTTTATAATTTATTTATTTATTTTGAGAAGAGAGTGAGTGAGCAGAGGAGGGGCAGACCGAGAGAGACAGAGAGAGAATCCCAAGCAGGCTCCGTGCTGTCAGTGTGGAGCCCGATGCAGGGTTTGATCCCATGAACTGTGAGATCATGACCTGCGCTGAAATCAAGAGTCAGACACTAAACCACATAAGCGCCCCACAGACAAATGACTCTTTATTGATATACTCATGGTGGAAGCTGACAATGGTTCCAGGAAATGGCTGAAAAATTTAGTCAAAGATATAAATGGTAATGAGAATTCAGGTCTCCAGTTAGGAGATGAGGCTAAGGCAAAATGTGCAGGAGGCCAGAGATGCCTGTGACAGGCAATGGTGAGCTTTTTTTTTAAATGTTTACTTATTTTGAGAGAAAGCATGAGCTGGGGGAGGGACAGAGAGATAGGAGAGAGAGAATCCCAAGCAGGCTCTGCACTGTCAGTCCAGAGCCGTACACAGGGCTCGATCCCACAGATCATGAGATCGTGACCTGAGCAGAAATCAAGAGTTGGATGCTTAACCAACTGAGCCACCCAGGCTCCCCAGTGGAGAACTTCTTAATGTAGAGCATGGAATGTCCTAAAGGAGACACGTACAGAACATAGACACATATACAATCGTCTTGTTAGCATTGTGACTTAGGGCAAGCTTCAGGTAAGCACCTATAAAACAAGAATAATACCTGTACCTGCCCCCCACCCCAGGTATTATTAAATTTAAATAACTAACACCATACTCAGTGCCAGGCCCTGGCACTTTATATATCTTTAGAATAGTATCTTCCTTCAATGCTTCTAGATGTTATTTCTAGGTTTTATATTTAAAACATCATATATTTCTGGCACATTACTTAATCTCTCTAAATATTTCCTTTCTGTCTATCTCAAAGGTGGCTGTGAAGGAAAATAAAGTCAAAGAATCCATGTACAAAGCTTACTCTAGTGGCTGGCACATAAGTGTTCAATATGAATTATGTAGGCTATCTAGTAGGGTGGTGGAAACAACAGATTCTGAAGTTAAATTTTCCAGGTTCAAACATAGTCAAACCAAAATTATCACTAGGAGACCATGTGACTATATTCCTATCTTCCATTACTTATTCATCTTGAAAGGGAGGAAACTAAGAATTGACCCAGCACACACATCTTTCATTCATCCACAAATATTGACTTATTGCCCATTATGTGCACGTGCCAGGATTTAGAAAGAACCAGTCAGAAAAATACAAAAAGGACACAAAGAATGGGATTTTTATCATTTCTTTGTATTGTAATAACATAAATTTTACTTTTTCTTGGTATGTATCAAAATGCAAACATTGATCATGCAAGAGTTGGGAATAAATGCAAAATGACAAAGGCAAAATCATGTAGCAGAAACCAGATCCTTGAAGAACTGGGTGGAGATTTCAAGTTTTTTGACACAAAACTTAAAACTTTTTTATAAACCATCGTCACTCAAGAAGCCCAGGAGACATCATGTTGAAAAGCAAATACACCTCCTTGGCTAGTCTCAAACGCAATCTCTCTCTTTTCTGAACTAGACCTGCACTTATTAAAAGCATGAACTTTGGGATTTAAATGGCATGGCCTGTAGGGGTCTCCAGTTCTACTACAAGTGTAAGTCTTGTTTTTCTAACAAATATATGTCTCAAAGAAATGGTGCTGTGATTTGGGGTATGACACGGTAATGGGGGATGAGTTACTTTTCAGAGTGCTAGGCACAGGGCAGCTGGCTTAGGAAATATTTTTTGGCTGCTTGACTGCACTTCTTGATAACTTCTGATCAGAAGTCTGACTTTTCTAAGTCACATTCTATATCAAAGCCCCAGAAACTTAACTATGACACTGCATAATATATTGGGCTTAAAACCTAGGCCTTGATTCTGAATTTTAAGGAAGTACTGTGAAAATCTTCATTCCTTTTTTGGTTGTGTTGAAACACCAGCTACATGAATCTTTGTACTTGGCCTCTACCCCATGAGTTTGTTTTTGCTTCAAGCAGCTATTAAGAGCGTGTGAGCCAGATAATTCTTGTCAAGGCCAAGCTGAAATCTTAATGTTTCAGAAACCTGAAAGCTGGTTTCAGAAACCTGAAAAAAAGGCTAGATTCAACACTCAGTTGAAGAAAATCAATTAGTTTACTTTCTGTTTGGCTTTCAACACAGATGGCATTATGATAGGCTTGTTTCCAGTATGAACATGTGAATGTTCTTTTTGCCTTTTCACACAGTACTCAAAGGCAAACTAGACACAAAGTTATTTTTAACTTGAGTTTTTCATGCCTTAATTCCTATGTGTGTACATGCCTGTGAAGGCAGGGTTTGGGGTAAGCAAGCTGTTTTGACCTTTCATAAGACTTGTTTTGTGCTCTATGAATATATGAAAGCAAACTAGTTAAAGGCACTTCAGGCTTGTCATAAATATGTTTCAAGCATGTTTTATCTTCTTGGTAAGACTATAAGCTCCTTGAGGAAGGATCTTAGTAATCCTGACTCTATCCAGAGCTATGCATATAGGCTGGCAGCTGGAATACTGTGGGATTGAGTCTTGGTCTCCAGATTTTCACTTATGCCCATTAACTGTAGGTGTAAGTATCAGTCATAAGCCTTCCTTTTTCCTCCCTCTACCCTCTCCTCCTGACCCCCATAGCAAATGAATGCTTTCTATATGGTCTTGTAAGCTCAAAAGAAAAGTTGTCACCATTTTATCTTCTACGTCTAGCTTAACGCCTAGCACATTATACACAATCAATTATTTGCTGAATAAAGAAAACATTTGTCAGGATTTTGGACCACATATTCGGCAATGTTTGGTACTGAATAAGCTTTTAGGGATTACAGTTGAATCCCTAAAGTGTTTGGTCCTAGCCAACTATATTATTAACCATAAACTGCCGGAGGTAGTTTGAGGAAAAATAACCTTTTCTGACATTAATATCCTGCCAACTCTGAAAATTGCTATTGAATCTACTGTTTTATTTGAGCTTCACAACAACCCTAGGAAGGAGAGGCACACGGAGCTCAATTTTGACAATGTACATGACAAGGGTTATACATTTTTAATTATTTTCATTTACAGATGAAGAAGCTCAGGCTCCAAGAAATAGCTAAGATGGCCAAGCCCTGAACTCACCCTCTCCTACTTCCAAGTCCAGCGCTCCTTTCACTCCATCATTGTTTTTTAGTCACATTATTTAGGCAACAAGCAGTCCAAAGTCACAGGAGTGGGAAAGTTATTTCACGAAAGGTTTTGATGTGGTAACAGTGCAGAACATTTCCTGAGTTCTTTTAGCAAACCAGAAGTGCATTTTACTTGTAATTCTCAAAGCAATCCGGGAGAGACACTATTATTTTAATCGTACACGGGAGGATTCCAAGGCTTAGCTGAGGCTAGTTTATATTTGCAAAAGACCTCAGACCACGAGGGAGACTCAGCAAAGTCTCATCCTAGGGACTAGGACCTAAGTTTGTAACCCTACCACTAGGCTGAGGGCCGTTAATACGGCCCATGCCTTATCTTACATATGAGACACCTGACACCAGAGAGGTAAATGATTTGCCCCGATCCCTCAATGAGTTCTGGGGACAAAACCAGGGGAAAAAAAGGCCAGTTTCTCAGGGCTGTTTCCAAGGGACCTCACGAAACGCTTGGCTTTGCCCTTCAGGGAACTGCCAGTCTACGGGCAGAAAAGAGGAATATTCTTGTTGTTAAGGTCATTACGGAGGGTTCATAGAAAAAGACTAAAACCGGGGTGCCTGTGTGGCTCAGTCGGTTGAGCGCCAACCTCGCTTCAGGTCATGATCTCACAGTTCGTAAGTTGGAGCACTAGGTCGGGTTCTGCCCAGACAGCTCAGATGGATTCGGTGTCTCCCTCTCTACCCCTCCCCCGCTCATGCTCTGTCTCTCTCTCTCTCTCTCTCTGAAAAATAAACATTAAACAAATAAAAATAAATAAATAAAAAAGATAAAGACGAAAACCTGAGCATGTAAGAGCTATTCCTGCGCGAAACAGCTCTGCGATGGGGTAAGAAAGAACGTCGAGAAGTACGGGTACAACTTGCGGTATGAGCGCCACAGAACTTCGGCCCGGTGGGGAAGCAACGCACTTGGTCCTTGGGGCTATTCAGCTCCGCCCCCCACCTGGACCGGCGCCAGCTCCACCCGGGTGGCTGAGCCCTCAGTGCCCGTGGCGGGCAAACTTCCCCGGAGAGCTGGGCTCCGGCACCCACCAGCCCCACTCTCTGCGGCCGAGCCCCGCCCCCTACCTGGAAAGGCTCTGGCTCCGCCCCCGGGGGCCACGCGCTCACGGGCACGTTCTCCAGGCCGCGCGCAACATCCAGGCGCTCCGTGGGTCTCTCAGGCCCCTCCTTAGGCGTTGCCATTCCCGCAAGACTCTCTTTCTACTCTCCCGCGGACATTTCCTGTCGTCTCGAGGCGCTGGCCACCTAGATGATTTTGAGCCTCGCAGAGGATGCTGGGAATCACGGGTCGTGCGCCTCCGCTGCCTTTTGGGAGTCGTAGTTTTTCTCTCTCCTTTCACAAGTGGCCTGTGAGGGCGTCTTCTCAGCTCTCCTCTACGTTTTGGTGTGGCTCGCTCTGTTTTGAGCCAGATGCACAACAAATAATACAAAGCTTTGTAAGGTACGGACATAGCTTTGGAACCATAAAATGAAGTGCTTTAATTTTTCCTGTGAGCCTCAGGGAGGGTTGGAGGTGAAGTCATTTGTGTAGGTTTCTGAGGGCTGGGAAGATTGCGGGAGTGGGGGGAGGAGCGCGCTCTAAGCTGAGTGGGGAGTTGCACACCAGGGTTTTTCAGGTTCTGGAACTTGCGTGGAAGTTGGGTGACGTGTGAAGGGGTTTGCTCTCAGGCGGCAGAATAGCCTTTAGGGCGTTGTAAGGCATGTGTGGGAACGCCCTGATTGCGGTATCTGTTTCCCATCATCTTCCCGTTTCCTAGAAAAAACTCTGCCTCAACAAAGGATTCTGATAAAAACTCGAAATTGCTGAATCCAGTGGGATATTTCCCAAGTTGTCTGACCTGATTGTCCTGTCGCATCTACTTGAAACCCCGTCTCATTGCAGCTTCTGTGGCACCTGCCCTGGATGGGCTGCCCTCTGGCTGACTGTCCTTTCCCGCCTGATTCTGAAATAATTGGCGGGTGTCCCTCAGGTCTGCCTCTGCTCCTTCTCCCTTGCCTTGTCTGGGCTTCCTCAGTAATAGCATTTCCCCACATAGCTTCAAATACTGTTATAAAGTATTAGGTATTCTCTCTCCAGTTCAGACGTGGATATCTGCTTCGCTCTGGTTGTGGATAGCCGATTATTGAACATAAAAAAAAATTTTTTTTATGTTTTTTTATTCTAGAGAGAAAGACAGAGCGTGAGCGGGGGAGGGGCAGAGAGAGAGAGAGAGAGAGTGAGAGAGAGAGAGAGAGAGAGAGTCTGAAGCAGGCTCCAGGCTCTGAGCTGTCAGCAGAGTGGATCGCAGGGCCCCAACTCTGGAACCTGGAGATCATGACCTGAGCCCAAGTCAGACGCTTAACTAGCCGAGCCACCCAGGTGCCCCTGATTATTGAACATTTTTCCTGTCTTACAGACACCACAAGTTCATATGGACCTTAGGTGACTAATTCTTCTGCAAATCTTCCTTTTCTCTTTTAAAATAAACCGGGACAGTAATTTGTCCATGATTGCCAGAGTTACTAAAGCAACAAACCAAAGCATTTCCCTGTATTTCTTCCTCGCTTTAGACCTCCATAGCTAGGAGCTTCCTGGCCAAATCTTGTTGATTCTACTTTTGTAAATTTTCACATTTTCATTTCTATTTAGTCTCAGGTTGTGGTTTCTTCCTTTGACTCTTGAAATTCTTTTCTTCGAGTCTAACATTCTCCCAAATCACCCTTACTTTATTATACTTTGTTTAAAATCTCTACTTAAAACAGACACATAGACCAATGGAATAAAGAACCCAGAACTGGACCCTCAAATGTATGGCCAACTAATCTTTGACAAAGCAGGAAAGTGTATCCAAGAAAAAAGTCTCTTCAGCAAACGTTGCTAGAAGAACTGGACAGCAACATACAGAGGAATGAGTGGACCACTTTTTTACACCATACACAAAAATAAACTCAAAATTACGAAAGACCTAAATGTGAGACAGGAAACTATCAAAACCCTAGAGGAGAACGTAGGCAACAACCTCTCTGACCTCAGCCGCAGCAACTTTTTCCTGGACACATCTCTGAAGGCAAGGGAAATAAAAGCAAAAATGAACTATTGGGACCTCATCAAGATAAAAAACTTCTGCACAGCTAAGGAAACATTCAACAAAACTAAAAAGCAACCAATGGAATGGGAGAAGATATTTGCAAATGACATATTGGATAAAGGGTTAGTATCCAAAATCTGTAAAGAACTCACCAAACTCCACACCTGAAAAACAAATAATCCAGTGAAGAAATGGAAAAAAGCCATGAATAGAAGCTTTTCCAAAGAAGACATCCAGATAGCCAATAGACACATGAAAAGATGCTCAACATCGCTCATCATCAGGGAAATACAAATCAAAACCACATTGAAAACCACCTCACATTGGTCAGAGTGGCTAAAATTAACAAGTCAGGAAGCAACAGATATGGAGGTGAGGATGTCGAGAAACGGGAACCCTCTTGCACTGCTGGTGGGAATGCAAACTGGTACAGCTGCTCTGGAAAACAGTGTGGAGGGTCCTTAAAAAATTAAAAATAGAATTACCCTATGACCCAGCAATAGCACTCCTGGGAATTTATCCAAAGGATACAGGAGTGCTGATTCATAAGGGCACATGTATCTCAATGTTTATAGCAGCACTATCAACAATAGCCAAATTATGGAAAGAGCCCAAATGTTCATCAACTGATGAATGGATAAAGATGTGGTTTGTATATACAATGGAATACTGCTTGGCAATGAGAAAGAATGAAATCTTGCCATTTGCAACAATGTGGATGGAACTGGAGAGTATTATGCAAAGTGAAATAAGCCAGTCAGAGAAAGACAGATATGTTTTCACTTATATGTAGAATTTGAGAAACTTAACAGAAGACCATGGCAGGAGGGAAGGGGAAAAATAGTTTCAAACAGAGAGGGAGGCAAACCATAAGAGACTTTTAAGTACAGAGAACAAACAGGGTTGATGGTGGGAGGGCAGTGGAGAAGGGAAAATAGGTGATGGGCCTTGAGGAAGGCACTTGTTGGGATGAGCACTGGGTGTTGTAATTGAGCGATGAATCATGGGAATCTACTTCCAAAGCCAAGCACACACTGTATACACTGTATGTTAGCCAACTTGACAATAAATTATATTAAAAAATAATAATTAAAATCCCGTGTTTGTTCCATGTTTCTCTCAGAGTCCACCTTCTGTATCCTGGCTTATAAGGCCCTTGCCTATTTCTTTGGTCTCAAATTTTAACTCCTTGTTCTACTTACATTTTCTCAACCAGTCATGCTACTTGGGCCTCCGTACCTTTGGTCACATTATTCTTGTGTCTCCATTGCCTTTTCCCCATACTGTCTGTTTACTCAGCTCAAGTGTCTTCATTTCTCTATCTTTCCTGATCCTGCTTTCTATAGGTTTGGTTATTCTTTTCTTTGGGCTCCCAATTTACTCTGTAAGGTATTTCTCTTGGTTTCTGAAACTTTTTAGTATACTCGCAGGCAAAACTCTCTTATTAAGGTCATAAAAATTACATACAAATTACATGGAAGAGATATAGAAATATAGAAAAATTACATACAAATTACATGGAAGAGATATAGAAAAGAGGGAGGGAGAGAGAAACATTTTAACAAGTAATTTTGGTACATTTATTTGTATGTCTTTTGATACAGGGCCAAAGTCTGTGTGTGTGTGTCCTGGGGGTGGTGTGGGGTATACTGATTAGAATCCGTGTCATGCTTACTCTCAATTCCAGTTTGGGGTATTTAAAATGGTGCAGGAATGAAAAGACAGCAAAGAAATCTGAGTTCATGATCTGTGTCCCATTTCCCCCTGCCCCATTTTTTTATACTTTTCTTAGACCCATTTCAATACAAAATAGTTTTTGGTGACTTGTCTTCTTTTTTTTTTTCCCATGTTTTCCAGAGTGTTGCTCTTAGTTTTTCTGGAGGGAAGAAACTGTTTACACTCATAGTTCATACCATTCCCTTGGTATTAATAGTGTCTTAGTTCATGCTGCTATAACAAAATACTGTAGGTTGAGTGTCTTAAACAACAAACATTTATTTTTCACAGTTCTAAAGGCTGGAAGTCTGAGATCAGAGTGCCAGCACGGTCAGTTTCTTGGTGAAGGCCCTCTTCTTGGTTTGCAATGGCTGACTCTTCTCATTGTATCCTTATGTGGGGGAAAGAGAAAGAGCTAGCTTTCCCTTCATCTCCTTATAAAATCGCATCATGAGGGTTCTACTCTCATTACATAATTACCCTCAGCGGCCCCACCTCCAAATACCTTCACGTTAGGTCTTCAACAAGTGAACTTTAGAGGGTCACAAACATTCAGTCCATACCCAATAGGTTTAGAAATAGATAATCAGGCTTATAATGTGTATCCAGGAACAAGTAAGAAAGTAACTTAGTTTTGCACTGAAGTACACGTGTGATACAAAAACCCATTTTTTTTTTCTTTTTAAAATTTAAATTTAGTTAATGTACAGTGTGATTTTGGTTTCAGGAGTAGAATTCAGTGGTTCATCACTTACATACAACACCCAGTGCTCATCACAACAACTGCCCTCCTTAGTACCCATCACCCATCTAGCCCATCCCCCACCCACTTCCCTCCATCAACCCATGGTTGGTTCTGTATTGTTAAGAGTCTCACGTGGTTTGTTTCACTCTCTTCTCCCCCTTCCTTCCCATATGTTCATCTGTTTTGTTTCTTGAATTCCTCACATGGAATTTGTCTTTCTCTGACTCACTTTATTTCATTTAGCATAATACATTCTAGCTACATCCACGTCACTGCAGATGGCAAGATTTCATATTTTTTTAAGTTTATTTATTTTGAGAGCCCAACACAGGGCTCCATCTCACAAATCAGGAGATCATGACCTGGGCCAAAATCAAGAGTCGGACCCCTAACTGACTGAGCCACCCAGGTGCCCCAAGATTTCTTTTTGATGGCTGAGTTATATAGCATTGTGTGTGTGTACACACACACACACACACACACACACACCACACATCTTCTTTATCTATTCATCAGTCAATGGACATTTGGGCTCTCTCCATGGTTTGGCTATTGTTGATAATGCTGCTATAAACATTGGGGTGCATGTACCCCTTTAAATCTGTATTTTTGTATCCTTTGGGTAAATACCTAACAGTGCAATTGCTGCATCA